ATGAGCCTTCCTTTTTGTGGTCTAAGAAGCGAATCTACGTAGAAATGAATCTGTAGAAGTATTACTCACCATTCCCGTTATTGTTAATAGAGTTCGAACTGACTTCAAAGTTCCCCATCAAAATTTCTCCACGTAGATCTTCCTGGCCCTGCTATCGGTACTGACCTTCTTCTACCCAATCACTCAGCAATGTTTCGATCGCTCACCCTTTACCTTTTGGCTTTATGACTCCATCTTTATGATCATTTCTTATCACAATCACAGCGCGGCGAAAATGAAATCTTGCGGACTTATTTAGGGGATTTAGTGTACCTTGTAGAAGTACCATCTGCCGTTGTTAGATGAGCATGCAAAGAGGAAGTAATATCATTATATATGATTTCCCGTTATGTCAACAAGAAAGCCCCGGAATTAGCTTGTAGATTGTCTTGTAGAATATATTCCTGTCTAGGACGCAGTGCTAGTCCGAGCGCAGGTATCACGTTTACCTCGCACTCGGACCGGGACCAAATTTCGAACAGGCTCCCGCCCAGGCCAAGCAAAGTTTCTACCCTTCACGTACAGTAAACTGGTACCAGATTTGCCTGGGAGGATAAGAATGCTGACTTGTTCTGGCCCGCAAATCATTGTATATGCCGAATCGCATTCAATAGGCCATCACAGTTTTTTTATGAGAATGGAGTGCATGGCTTCCCACAGAATCATTGATCAACGGCGGAGACTATCCTTTTATTTCTGTCAAGTGGGCCATGGTGGTCCAGTAGCAAGTGTCACGTTTACTACGCGCCAACTGTAGTTCAATTTCGAATAGTCCCGTTCCGCAAAGGTTATGCAAGCCACCTATCTCCCGGGTAGGTACTGACACAGCTTTATCTGGGTTGACAAAAAACAGACTTGTCATCAGCTGACTCCGCAAATCATTTTATAGGTCAATTTGCACTCAACAGTAAGCCACTACTATTCTGAATGGAAGAAGAATGCATACCGCTCCACAATGGTAATTAACCAGCCATGTCCTCCTTTATTTATTTATTTATTTATTATATGCACTCCTAGGTGCGCTACATTCCTTGATACCATAATCAGGTCGGGACTAAAAGAAGAACGAAAAGAAAAGAAAAAGAATACAAAAAAACACCACAGAAACGTAACACAACTCAAGAGAACACAACACAAATGAGCTCAAACGGCACAGAACGGGCTCCTTTTGTTTCCTGTGAAGATCATGAGAACAAGCGAACATTCACTTGCGCATTAACCGTTTTTTTGTCTTCAAAATCTGTGTGGAACTGCGGCTCCTCACTTGCATCATGAAGCGCACTACTGTGCCACTTTTGTCCTGCTTTGTCAGTTGTTTCGTAAAAATAACGTTGTACAGAATTAACCTTTTATCACAGAGAATTGCGATAAAGGAGTAGATGAAAGAAAGCGATAACTGAAAAAAAACTGGCCAAGAGGCCCCCTTAATCTTCGACGGTGTTGCATAGCATTTGCACAGGACTCTTACCCGGAACAAACTTTTACATGAGGCAAGGAAAACCTAGCAACAGCACACTGATCTCTTTGAAATAGTCTGCCTTATTTACCGTTAGTAGCTTCATTATTACTTTCTATGCACTACCCCCAGGTGAACCACTTCGAGGCCTATGTTTGCGAGAATACTCATTACTCTTCGATGAAACACGTCTCTGACATGAGAACACATAGTGGCTGTTTCAACTCTGAGTGCTTTCGGAGAGAGAAACCGGTTGACGGTGAATCAGTGATTCGATGTGAATTCAAAGCTGAAACTCCTACTTTTTAATCTCTTCAAGCTTCTAAAGTGGAAGGTGAGTTGTTATGAACAATTCCGAATTGTACTGGCTCTGATTTCCTTTAATTCTATGCGATTTATGCTTTTTCTTGTATTTTGCAGGTATTTATCCAAATGGCTTGGATTCTTTCAGATTCATTTAGAGTCAGTACAATTTCAAAATTGCTCTGATAATAACTCACCTTCCACTTTCGAGCTCGAATAGTTGAAAAGTGGAATTTCGCAGCCGAATTTCATGGAAATCGGCCAGTTCGCCGTCACCGAGCCGCAGCCGCTGTCGCGTCACATTGCGGCGCGGCTGTGCCGCCCCGACAGTCCGAATGATGAGGACTGTAGACCAGGACTGCGGGTGCGCATGAGTGAACCATGTGAAGCTTGTATGAACAGATTACACATCAGAAGATGTTCTCATCTGTCTCAGCAGCGCTACAGAATCAGGCAAATAAGGAAACTGAACGGATTTTCAGTTAATTACTGCATCAGTGATGTTTGAAGCACGTCGTTGATGCTTACTCTCCTGTTTATTAATCCTTGTCAGACGCTTCCATACATCCATAACCCTCCGTTGTACCAAGGCCTACTGCCGAAAAGTTTTAGGGATACATATGAGACTAAGCCACCTTATCTCTTCTATTTAGATATAGTATTTCCCATTCTCCCCTAGCTAGCGTTAAGAGCTCACTAGGATCAGAATTAGCTACGTAACAGTTAGAATTATACACTCCACTATCCCGGAGCGTGAGAGGGCGTGGCTGTTGCTTTATTTGAACGTGGCAGCGGCCACGCGTTCGGTGAGATGTTTCTATTATAGTAAAACTATAATCATCGTTTTGTTGGGCACAAGAAAGGACGACTGTTGCCTCTAGTGAGAACTTCGCGGGAAGACTGTCCTATCAACAAGTAAGGAAGCGCAGCCGCGCCCCCCGATCTCCGGCATATTGTCTGTACTTCCGAACACTATCCAGAACCAATTAATTTTAGTCATAGGACTTGAAATCCCATGACGTTTAGAAGCCAACATGCCAGAAATCGTTCTCCTTGGGGTAGTACCACCCTGGAAAAGTAGTAATGTTTGATCAGTTGTTTATGGTGTGTATGTGATGGCGACGAGCACAATGACGCATACTAATTCCTTCAGCACATACGTAATGGAAAACAATGAGGATAATCTTAGACTGCCTTCAAGATCCTCCGTCTCTCGGCAGACCATAGCTAGGAAAGTATTCAGAGGAAGGGTACTTTTCGTTCCGCTGGCGCTAGCCCAAGATAAGGAAGCGTTTTGGTTCAGAACATTAAAAACTCTAAAAGTACCGCAAATATTGTTGCTCTCTCGTAAACGGTCAGGATAAGATTTTTGCCCGACCCTTAGCGTTGGGGAAGGGGGGGGGAGGATTGGGGTGGGAGAAGAGCACCGATGTGGATTAAGTGACACATCAAAGACGCGATGCTCGCAACATTTTGTATTCATAGTAAACTCCTTCGTAAACACCCGCAGAATTGAAACTACCGTAGTCCGGTGAACTACGGCGCAAAACCCCTGCCTATGATGGTACGACTAGTTTAATTCTGAGAACGATTTTTGTCAGAAGAAGAAGATGCACCATGTGGACTCCCCATCCCTGCTAAGCGTATGCGTGGCTATGTATTTTGTTCTCACGTGGAGTATTTCATTCCTGCTCGTGGAATATTTCAATTTTGGGGACGCTGTCACCTTTGTCTAAATGGAAATCCACAAAACAGTACAACTGTATATACACCATATCCCCGAAAAGAAAACGCATGCCCTACTGCCTTTGAGGCGAACGACTGTTGTCCTTTTGAAGAGGATGCTGATCATTTCTAGCAATGGGATGGAGCAATATAATCATGTTTTTGTGTAAAGACAGGAAAAGCATGACAGTTGCCTCAAATGAAAATATCCCACAAAAGACGCATTTTGCGCCATGTTTAAGTGAAGTACGCAACCACGCCCTTCCCAATTCCGGGGAATGAATTGTGGCATGGCTGCACACTTCTCTTGCCTTTTGCGGAAATGATATCGTCTCATAGTCATTGCTTCAACCACACAGGTTTGCGGTTTTCGAGGTGTCGAGCGTTCTCCCATGTTACATCGCCGTCATCTTACAAGGGAACTACTCATTTCAAAATTCCAATATTTTCTACAGAGCCCTCGAATGATCAATAGCAATGATATAATGATCGACTGCTTATAGGATATATTTTATGAAGTTGACCATTATGACAACGACCGCAGGTGCCTTGAGGAACCATCTGATTCTCTCTAATGATCATAAGAAAGCTCATACGAGACTTCCTCGAGAATATCTTATCATTCGCGGGAGGGGCTGGCCCGCCGCTACTTCTGATGGGAATCCCGCATTTTGCGACCGAATTTGTCCCCGAATAGACTTGTCATCGTGAGAGAATACGTAATGTCGCGCGAGCATCTTCACCGACAAGGCGTGGAAAACAACATCAGCTAAGCGGATTTAGTTGTTGAACCCTGCGCTCAGTAATAAGCCGCTGCTCGGTCAAGGAGGCTGATTATAGGAGATACCCATAGGAGTAATCAGAACTGGGCGTGAAATGTACGAGTTCACAGACGCTGGAACGTCGAGAAAGCCTAACACAGGAGAGCGTGTGCCCCGCTGAGTCGTACTGTAGCAGACAGTTTGAAGACAGTTCCCGCGATCAAGTGATCCGCGAAATGCCTCCGTACATGTTGCATCGCAGTCCGCATTCGCGAAGAATATACCACTTCCGTCACTAGAAGCCACGCGGAACGGCGAGATGAAAGAGACTAGAGACGCGCGATTATTGCAACCATTGTAACCACGATCACTTTCCTTCTGCAAGACAACGGCTTACAAGCGGAATTGCTTGTGTACACTGCGTTGCCTGGAGCGTCGTAGGGCGATTTCGTATGCTCCTACAGGGTATTGGTTGCACGTGGGATTCTGCTGATTGGGCTACTACACAGAGCTCATTCAAGGCGCCGCCCTGGAGGGGGTCTCTGTTCAGGGTGTTTACAATGTTTTTTCCCCGCTTCTGTCTCTACTGGAGACCTACTGGTTCATGATTGAGCGTCTATTACCTGTAACACTTGATCGCGGGAGTTACCTTTAGGTCACTCATGTTGGCACGTTTCCACTGCAGCAACTTTTAGTATTACCTTGCTACTAGGCCTATGATGGGTAAGAATATGGTAAAAAAATTTTCGAAATAAAACTCTGGCTTCTCTCCCTCCCTCCCACCTTCCACCTGCAGTAGTTGACGAATCTGACGCTCCTGTTTGCATTTAAACAGCTGAATAGTCCATCTTGTAACAGGAATCGTAAGCAGGCATTGAAGAGTTACAGTAATCGTCGAGGACTAAATTTGATATTCATTTTAGGGTTTCCGCACCTACGTGGCACTCACCTACGTCGGTTTCAACATTGTCGGTTTCGTCGTGAACTTATGGGTCCTCTACGTAATTGCACCCTTGCTGTTCGCTCCAGCAGTCAAGGTAGACTTTTTTTATTATTATGCTGGTGCGATAATGTTGCTTACGCACAAGATTACAGTAGTCTGTGCCTGGATTAGCCAACCACACACGAAAATGCCTTCGGAATTCCAGCACTAATTAGATGTGTGGCGCATGGTTGAGCCCATACGGGCAGTTAGCTCTTGTTATGCATTGGAACCAGTGAGACTGGTGATCATCCATCTTTACAAGATGTCACAAACAATGGAAAGTATATACACACATAGGATCCAGGGAGTAGAAGGAGGGGAAAAGCTCCTCACTCGGATAAACGGGCGGACACCATCAAAACATAGTTGAGGTTTCTCCAACAGCGGGGTTGTATTTGGTTGCTGGGAGGGGGGGGGTCGTATTGGTTCTAGGGAGAATTTTTTTGATGATTGGTCTTTCTTCTTTCGGGGACGCTGTAGGGAGGGGGTGTCTTACTTGTTCCTTGTTGGTAGAGGGGGAGGGGTCGTATTTGGCTTCTGGTCTTTTGAGAGATTTGCGAGAAGTTGTTGACTTTTCGTGGTTTTTCCTGTTTCATATACTCCGCTCGAAACTCGATCGTATCAGAGGAGGGAGTCAAGGAGAGGGGTCGTACCAATCCGCATCCTAGGCGGGGGGGGTGGTACGGACTCGACCAAAATCTCCAACTAATTATGTGCCCTGTTCACCACTAACACTTCCTTGTCCTACACTTTGAATACAGGCCAAATTTTGACTGAAATTTTCTGCCCCTATTGAGACTGACATGAACAGAAATACCACATCCGTTTGGAGCGAGCGTCCGGTGCGCGCCACCGCCACGCATGGCTCTCGTCACCGCGTCAGCAACGCACGTCCCAGACCATTTTACACCGAGATAATACAATCGCCATCCTCAAGGGGTCTGACAGTGAGACCGGCGCCTGTGGCGTAGGTGCAAAGCAGTTTCGAGCCAATAGGACGCGTATTCATTAAGAAGACCAGGCTCCCCGTGCGGGTAGGACATTGTTGCCAATCCTACCCATCCGAACAATTTCGGTCAAAATCTGGCCGAATTTCCGCACAGTGGGGCGCTAGATGGGAGATGGTGCTCGTGAAGGAGTTCGTTACATCAAGTTGATTCTGATGGTTATTGGTTGTATGGTTAATTCTGAGTACAGCCTGTTTCTACAGGGCATCTCTAGAGCTTAAAATCGACCATGTGCTTTACAGCCCATATGTTCGGAGACACGTTCTTTCACTTTTTCAGGTGCCGAAAAGCATTCTGTTCTTCATTTTCGCTTTGGTTATCGGCGATTTGACCACTATGATCGGTACGTCATTAAATTTGCTCTGAAGAGTTTCAACACTGTGTTGATTTTAATCTGATTTTGGTTTCAGCAATGCTGCTGCTGATCATAGAGCTCGTGTTTGGTACATGGCGATTCAGTACTGCCACATGTACTTCATACCTTGTGCTGGATTCTATGAACAAGTGAGTTGATATGACAGTTCGTTCACGGCCAGTACAACATGAGCCTCTTCAATCCTGGATCCTCGGCCAGAAGCTCGAGGACGCAATCCTGGATCCTCGGCCAGAAGCTCGAGGACGAAGAGTTCCAAACTGATCGATATTCGATCGATTCGAATTTACTTTCGGATGCGCCACGCATTTTACTTCCATTTAGATTCGTGGAGGTTTTTGAGTTAGAATTGTTCCATAACTGATGTACAGTCCATTGATTCTATCCTCCCAGAAACGCATAAGGAAACCGATTTGACGGCCTCAGAAGAGCGGAAAGTTGGCTCATGCTGCAGAAGGCCTTTGATTTGACCTCGCTGCGCGCCTAGTAAGCCGGTTCTCCAGACGTGACTCCTCTAATTCAGCTTCAAAATCATTTCCAGCAAAGAAACCAAAAGGCCCTTTTTTGCTCAGCTGATATTTGCTGATGAATAATCTTTTAAAGGTTAAATTTCGTTCCAGATTTGTCGCTCCAATCATCGTGTTTCTGATCAGCAGAACCTGCTACACCACCGTTTGCCTTGACAAAGCCAGGGGAGAGCGAGCTGCCACTCTGAAGGTAGGTACATACTTTGCATAGCCAGAGGCTATAGTAGCCGATAAATATCAGTTGATAGGTCAGTAATGTATGATTGATTTGATTCTTTGATTTTTTTCACATCTATTGAGTCACAAGTAACACGAGACCACTTCTCAACTAAATTAAAATGAAAGAATGATCAGAATGAAATGAATGAAAGATTGTGGTTAATTTTTTTTTGCTTTACCTTGCGCACAACTCTATACCAGCAAGGTGAGCCCATTCTGACTAAAGCGCTCGCTGAAAAAGAGCTAGAAGTTCTTGCTTTTACTACTCACTAGCCTAAACTTGTGTCAGATTTTGGCAGCAGCTATTCCCGTGAGTGAATATCCTTGAAAATTCCCCACTAAGGATAGTTTTCCCTCCGAATATGACTATCACACCTTCATGACGGGAAAACGCCTAGCAGAGCCAACGCCTTACTGGCTCGTAGCTCCAGGGGCTGTGGCGCGGGTATGAGGGATTCTGGTCGCAGGAGAAGGTATTAAATATTATAATATGCGTACTCGTCCAAGACTGCTGAGGTGAAGTCTGTGTTTAGCGTGTTCCAGAGGTTTTTTCGCTTTTTTTCTTACAAGTCACCGATGGGAATACTGGTTCATGATATATGTAGCCACCAACTACCCCCAACACTTGATCGCGGGAATTGTCTTTAAGCTGTCGAACTACCCTCGAGCTCAAACTTTTAGCCAACTCTAAATCAATTCTCGGGAAACGTCTCATCTCTGCGTTGCAATATAGCCTTTCCCTCGATTGAGGAGGGAGTGAGTAAATAATGTCAAAAAAACTGACAAAAATTATGTCTGGCACCAGAGGAGGAGAGAAAATCCAGGAAGATTTAGTAGTTTAAAGGATAAAGGATAAAGTCTTCGCCGTTGATCAATCCCTTTGTGGGATGCGGCACGCATTCTACTTCCATTCAGAATCGTAGTGGCTTATTGAATGCGATGTGGCCTATACAATGACTTGCGGTGGCCAGCCGATGTACAAGTCAGTGTTTTATCCTCCCAGACGAATCTGGTACCAATTTACCGTCCCCGGAGGGTAGAAGGCTTGGTTGGCCTGGGCGGGTGTCGACCCGGGATTCGAACCCGGCGCCGCGCGAGTGGTAAGCGCGCCACTTGTCACTACACCACCTCCGCCTAGCAGTTGAAATCCATAATGATTTCCTCCACGCTGGCTAGAAAGAGCAACTGCTGGGGGAGCAACTTTCAATTTTTTTCCGAAATTCGAAAGGTCTTTTTATGAGAGGATTTACTAAT